AGGAGGCGGACGCTACGGCGGCGGAGGAGGGGACAGGTACGGCGGCAGTTCGTGGAGGGCTCCTCCGCCTCGCGATGACCGTTGGGGCTACGGCGGAGGAGGAGGAGGAAGGGGCAGCTCGTCGCGCTACGACGACCGCGACCGCCGCGACCGGGACAGGGACGACAGGGACCGCGACTACCGCCGCCGTTCGCGCTCGCGCAGCCGCTCGCCCGACAGGAGGCACCGCGACCGTTCTCGTTCGCCCCGCGGCGACCGCGACCGCTCGCGCTCGCCGAGGAGGCGCTCGAAGAGCAGGGACCGCTCGCCTGCCGTCAGGAGGGAGAGGTCGAGGAGCAGGAGTCGCTCGCCCGCCCGCGCCAAGAAGGAGTCGTCGCTCCCGCCGCCCGTCGGCGAGAAGATGGAGGAGTAGGCGCCACGTCGATGGAGCAAGAGAGTCGCTTGAAGAAGGACAAGGACAAGGTGGTTTCGCTTAGGTGTCTCGTCAAGGTTCGGCGTGTTGGCGGATGGGCGTCGCTTCTACACAAAATGTCTCTACACCTCTACCCTCGCTCGCAAAATCAAAACACTGTCTCCGCGCGTCGTGTCGTACTTTTTCCACCCCAAAATCAAGCGTGCCGTCTCTCAAGCTCGCAAGTCGAGGTCCGCAAGGAGTGGTCGGTCGAGCAATCGCTGTCGGTTCAACTGGTCGTTCGTCGCAAGCGCAACTCGTCGTCCTTTCGCAGCGAGATGCGGTAGGTCTTCCATTTCCTCCATTTCGACTGACCAGGCTTCGCCATCCTGCCGTCTGCCTTCACCGCGCCTACACGACACCGTCCCTATGCCCCGCTTCCTGCCTCGACGAGTCCGCTCGCCTCTTGCGGATGCTCCTGGACGATGGTCCCGCTCCTAGAGTGCCTTTGCACTCTTTGTCATGCTTTTGCTGGCGCCACCGCGCAATTGCGCTCGACGCCGCCTTCTTGCGCAGGTTCGGATAGGGCAGGTCGGCGCGCCGTGCAGCTCCAGCACGACGACCGTTGCTTGTTCCCTAGCTATACAGTTCGACCCTTCCTCCCTCGCCCATCCTCGTCGACCGGAAACCCCCCGCACAACGACTGTTCCTTTCGAGTGCTGATTGCAACAAGACACCACTTCCCTTGCACCCTGCTCAAGATGGAGCTGGCTCGCTCGCTCAGGTTCACCCGCACCGCCCGCGCTCGCATCGACAAGGCTGGCGGAGAGTGCATCACCCTCGACCAGCTTGCGCTCCACAAGCCCACCGGCGCCAACACCCTCCTCCTCCGCGGCTCCAAGAACTCGCGCGAGGCCGTCAAGCACCGCGGGTGAGCGACTGCCCTCTCTGTGCGGGTGGGCCGGATCATCGTACTGACTCTCTCTCTCTTGCCCGGCGAACAGCTCGGGTGTCAACCACGCCAAGCCCTACGTCATCAGCAAGGGCAAGAAGGAGGAGGTGAGTCGTGCACTTACGGCCGAGCCTCTCGAGAGAGAGACCTTCGAGAGCGGCTCCGTAGCTGCCGCAACTTCACGCGACTAGGAACTGACACTCTCTATTCTCGCACAGAACGCTCGCGGTCGCAGGAAGTCGCGCGGCTTCAAGATCTAAGGTGCTCGCTCCAGCAGAGAGTACGGCCGGGACGGGACAGGCGCTTGGTCGTTGGTACGGTCGCAACGTTGCTGTCGATTCCCACACGGTGTTGCTAGTTGAGAGGCTGTTTACGCGAGATGGCGGGAGTGAGCAATGTCAACTCGCGAGAGAGAAACCAAAGTTGGGGTCTTCCTCGTCCGTGTCGCTCGCTTCCCTCCGTTCGTTCTGAGCGAGCGCTCCTACTCCTGCTAGCAAAACATTCCTCACGTGGGCGATGCCGCTCGCCTCGCTCGTGCACTGGCTCAGCTCCACACCCACCTCATCGACCCTCTCGACTCTCGCGCTCTGGGGCTCGCTCGCGGCGCTCGTGGTCGGTCTGAGAGCGTGGAGCAAGGGCTATGTGTGCAAGGAGGAGCGTGGGCTGGCTGGGAAGACGTTCTTGCTCACGGTGCGTCTCACACACCTCCTCGAACCTGGTTGAGGCGATGAAGCGGTTGCCGGCTGACTAGGGACTCGTGCGCAGGGCGGCTTCTCTGGTGTTGGACTAGCAGTCTTCCAGCACCTCGCCGCAGCCGGCGCGCAAGTAATCGTCCTCACTCCCGACCCTTCCTCTCCCTCGACAATCCAGCTCCTCCTCCTCCTCCGCTCATCCACCTCAAACGAGCGCCTGTACGCTGAGGAATGCGACCTTGACTCGCCGGCGAGTATCAAGCGCTTTGTTGAGGGATGGAAGAAGGACGCGAGGGAGGGCATGGTCAAGGATCTGGAGGCTAGGATTGACGGGATTGTCTTTTGCGACGAGGGTGGCACGATGGAGTGGCGCGAAAAGGCGGGGAGGGTGTTGACCGGCCGGCATATGCTCGTCCAGCTTCTCATGCCCGTCCTACTTCGCTCGGCTGCGACTTCGACTTCGCCCATTCGTATCGTCAACACGCTCGACAGCCCCTTCTACGCCGCGGTCACGCCCGACACCTTCGATCCCCCTTCCCTCGTCGCGGACCAGGCCGTCGAGAAGGCCGAAGCGTCCGCCGAGGCGAGTCGGCAGCTCTCGTCCATCGTGCAAGGCGGCCGTGTCGCCTTGGCAAGCGTCCTTCTCTGGCGGGAGTTCCAAGCGCGCCTCTCGACATCCGAACCGAAACCGTCGACCAATCCTTCAGCATCTAGCGACGCTCGAGTACCGAGCACTTCCCCAATCCTCGCTTTCTCCGTCTCTCCCGGCGTCCTCCGCTCCTCCCTCCGCTCTCTCCTCCCCCTCTCCACCCGCCAATCTCCTCACTCGCGCCTTCCATCATCCATCTACGCCTTCCTCAGCCTCCTCATCTCGCTCCTCGCCTACCCATTCACCTGGATCTTCGGCAAACGCGCGGACGAAGGCGCGCAGGTCGTCTTGGGCGCTATCATGGGCGATGTGGAGCGAAATAGTGTCGGAGGACGGGTAGTGAAGGGTCCAGACGGGCAGAGGGTGGACGCAGAGAGACTGGAGGGAGGAGATGGACGGCAGAGGATGCGAGTCAGGGGCGGGGCGCTGTATCGGGAGGGTCGGGAGGTTCCGTGAGCTTCTTCCTGACTGGCTTCTCCTTGCCCTGCGGCAAGGGAGGCCTTCTTCAAGGTGCCGAACCTCGCTGACCTCTCTTTCACTCCACTCGCAGACTTCCTCTCCTCGACAGCCTCCCAACTTCCGTCCGCGGCGAGTTTTGGGACGCCGAGTACAAGAGACTGGAGTCTTTGCTGGCCCGGGAAGGACACAAGGGAGCGAACGGGACGACCGGGTCGGCAACAGGGGATGGGCGAGGGAAGGAGAAGGCGGCCTGAACCGGGGTGCAAACTCTCGCCTTGTACAATTCGCATCATCATAGACACTTTGCATTGCATTCGACGGCAGTTCACGCGACTTCAAGACTATGACCCTCTCGCTCGCCCCGCCCGACGACACTCGTTCCCGCTCCACTTCCTGCTCGACTCGCTCAGGATGGCTTCGCACCATCGCGCCACAGCTGGCAGCTCGTGGGCGACCTCGTCCGTGTCCAATTGGGGCCAGCCTGCGACCGCCAAGGAGACGCTCGTCGCTTACATCGGTACGGGTGCCGCGTCGACTTCAGGCCGTTTACCGCGCTTCAGCACGCTGATCGGGGGCTTGTCGGGGTACGGGCTGGTGTCACGCAGACCGAGCATGCGATCCTTCGCTGCATGAGCCGAACCTCTCGCTCGAACTCGAGATTGCCGACCTCATCAACAGCAAGAAGGCGAATACGTGCGTTTGCGCGCCTTAGCTCGTTCGGCGCTTCACGGGCGCTGCAGTCATGAGCTAACGCGGCTTGTCGCTCGCACAGCCCGCGAGATGCCGCCGTCGAGGTCGTCAAGCTGGTCAACCACCGGAACACCCATGTCGCGATGCTGGCCCTTCATGTGAGCGTTTCGTGGGTTCAGTTACCTGCAGCAGTGAGCTGACTGGTCTCGTTGCACGCTAGCTACTCGACATCCTCGTCAAGAACTGCGGCTACCCCTTCCACCTCCAAATCAGCACGAAAGAGTTCCTCAACGAACTCGTCCGTCGCTTCCCCGAACGGCCACCGACCTTTCCCCCACCCCCGATGAAGAAGATCCTCGAGCTCGTGCACGAGTGGAAGAACACGATCTGCGTCACGAGCAAGCACAAGGAGGACTTGGTGCATATTCGGGACATGCACAGGCTGCTTAGCTACAAGGGTGCGTGCGCGGGGTTGCTGTCGGTGTCCGCCGTCTTAAGAGTGTGACCCTGACGCCTTTCATGTTCCCCGGCTGCGCAGGCTACCGATTCCCGCAGTTCGACCGACAAGCAGTCTCTGTCCTCAACCCGACAGAGGTGCGTCGTTTCCGCTTCGTCGTCCTTTCTCTTCTCAAACTGACGTGGGTCCGCTCTCGCAGAGCCTGCAAACCCCGGACGAGCTGGAAGAGGAGGACCGAGAAGCGCAGGCAGCGGTGAGAACCGCTCCCGACTAGACTGCCCGTTTCCGGGCGTGAAAGGCCGGAAACTGACTTCTTTTGCGCTTTGCGGTCCTCACAGAAATTGCAAGAGCTGATCCGACGAGGGACGCCAAAGGACCTGGCTGCGGCGCAAGAGTTGATGAAGATTATGGCCGGGGCGGTGCGCTCTCCCCCTCCTCCTCTCACTCCCTCCTCACGAGACTTACCGCCCCTCGACGCCCACAGGAACCGGAGAAGAAACCGAACTACGAGGAGCAAGTCTCGAAGGAGCTCGACAGGGTGCAGCAGCGCGTCTTGTTGCTCAACGAGATGCTCAATAACGCGAATCCGAAGGAACGGTTCGTCGAGGGTGATGCGTATGACGTGCGTTGCTTGCTTTCCATTCGCGCTTGCTCTGTCGACGGAGCGGGCGGACTGACGCGTATTGGTGTTGGCCGGCTCGCAGCAAATCGCCCAGAAGTGCCGGCACGTCCAGCCCAAGCTGCAGAAGTGGATCGCCGACAGCTCCGAAAACCACCCCGACTCGATGGGTCCGTCTCCCTTCCCTCGCTTCCTTTCTTCCCTCTCGCTAACGGGGTGTGAGCAAGCAGACCGCCTCCTCCTGATCAACGACTTGATCAATAACGTCATCAAGCGGTACGAGGCTTTCAAAGCGGGCGATCGGAGCGCCACGGCAGAGATTGATCCTGCGTGCGTCCCCACCTCCTCCCCCTCTCTCACCTCTTCGCTGACCAAGGGTTCGGGAGGACAGACTCGCCACGGGGTCAGCAGGCGCTAAAGCCCGCACACAGGCGAAACAAGTCTCGCTTATCGACTTTGACGACGACGAGGCTTTCGCTGCGCCATCCCCATCTCCTGCTCCGACCCCTTCTCAAGCTCAACCGGGAGCAAGGTCGAACCCGCTCGACGATCTGGCGAGCTTGTCACTTGGTCCTTCCGCACCCGCCGGAGGAGCGGGAGCAGGGAGCTTGTTTGACCTGAACGCCGCCTTCTCCACTCCCACTCCCTCCTCCTCCACCGCACCTCCTCCTTCCTTCTCCACCGGAACCACCACCTCCGCGCCCTCCACACCACAACAAGGGACTTTCTTCTCCAACCCCGCCTACCAAACCTCGTCTATGTCTATGGCGCGGGGTTCGTCGCCTTTCGGAGGGGGAGGCGGGAGTCTCGGGAGTATCGCGCTTGGCTCGTCGGCGAGTATGGGTGCGATGCGCGCGGGAGGGATGGGGGGAGGGCCGCCTGTACCCCCGAAGAAGGAGGGGAAGAGCAAGGACGCATTTGCGGATTTGTTGGGTGACTTTTAAGGATGTCGTCGTCGTCGGAGGAGGAGTACAAGGTGCTCTGCCGTAGTGAGAGGAATGAGAGTCGACTTTCTTTTCGCTTTTGCGCGATCCGAGCGAGTGAGAGGCGGGTCTTCGCGTCTCTCATTTGCGCTCATCCTGCGCAGAGTGGCCTCTAACTCAGGTCCTTCGTTGCACCACGACGAGCGCGAAGAACAGCAGAAGGCACAAAACCGACGAGAGACCCGATCATATACGCACAGACTCGAGTGGCGAGGGCAGAGATCAAACCGCGAAAGAGAGACGTATAACCGTGAAGAGAACCTATTTGGATCCGTTTTCGTGTATCATACCACCGGAATCGAGACCTGAGAAGCGGGGAGGCAGGGGAGGGAAGGAGGACGTCTAGGCGAGGACGACCACGCCCACCACAGCCGCGACGACTCCGACGATTCCACCCGCGAAGACGGAGGAGGTCTTGTGTGCTCCGCTCTTGGGTGCGGAAGTGGACGAGGGGGCGGATCCGGAGGCGGCGGATCCTGAGGCGCCTGAGGCGGAGGTCGAGGCGGGCTTGGAGGCTGAGGAGGACATCATCGAGCCTGAGGAGGAGACGGACGAGGAGCGAGTAGCGGAGGCGGAGGCGCCGGACGCTGCGGGAGAGGGGGAGGAAACGGGGCACGTCAGGACTTTTGCGAGGGGACGGAGCGGGGGAAGCTGCGCATTCGCCAGACGAGCACGTACAGTAGCCGCTGGGAACAGCGCTGATGTTAATGGGCGTTTTATTCTAGCCGCGAAAGCGAAAGGAATCAGTTCCGAGGCCGGAGAAGGATGAGGAGCAGGAGGAGGAGAATGTACCTGCTCGCACACCTGCGCGCCGTACTGCTCCGCAGCCTGCAAGTCACTCTGCGAGCACGACGACTGCTGGCACTGGAAGTAGGCGCTGCGTACGATCCACCCACCACGATCAGCACGCAGAAGGAAAAGGAGGAGGAGGGAGGGGAGGGGACGCACAGCTGGAATTGCTGAGAGGTGCAGACTATTCTCCGGACGTTCGTTTGAGCGCGAGAGAGAGCGGGACGGAAATAGCAGCATTTGAGCGCGGAGAGGGAAGGGGACGAGCGGAAACGCGGTCAGAGACAGGGAGGGAGGCGTTGGCGATCGACTTCGCGACGACGGCGACGCGGGAGAGTCAGGAAAGTACCACGCACTGCAGGTGATGTTGCTGACGCCGTATTGGGCGCACTGGAGCGAGAACGAGCAGAGGAGGGGCGTGCAAATTGGGAGGTGGGGCGCGTACACGAAGGGGGTCAGCCTCGCGTTCTCGCCCTCGCACACAAGTTGGCCGAATCGCTAGTACGCACGGGCGAGTTGGGGAGTGCGGTACCGAGGCAGGTGACTGCGCAGGTGGGGATTGCGGCTGTCGATGCGGCGGGAGAGGCGGAAGCTGTTCCCGAGGACTGGGACTGGGCGAGGGCTGTGCCTGCGAGAGCGGCGAGTGCGGTGATGGCTGAGATGAGCATCCTGTAGTGTAGTGAGCGAGTGTGGTAGTAGTAGCAAGGAGTGTAAGAGAGAGAGAGAGGGAGCGAGGTGCGAGGGTCCGATCATTCACAGGTCACGTGGTGTCTCACCCGGGAACTCCACTTTGCCCTCCGATTCCAGACTCCTCCAAGGGGACACACTCGCACCGCTCACACCGCCACCGCCTGACTGCTACTGCCGCTACACTCACACAGACAGCCACTGACAGGGCTCACACGCACACGAGCGATGGCGCGACCCGCCGCGATCCCAGCCACACTCTTCATCCTCGTCTCGCTCCTGGCCACCCACTCGCTCGCACAGCAGCAGGCCGCCTGCTCAAACTACGGCTCACTCCTCTCGAACGGCACATGCGGCTGTCCACCCGGCTTCGACCCCGCCACCGCTTGCACCCTCGCAGCGTGCGACAACCCGCTCGAGTCCAACTTCGCTCGTCAACCCTTCTCCGCCGTCCTCGCGGGCAACGCCAGTACAGGCTGTGCGAGGCAGTGCACGAGCGGGTTCGCCGGGCCCAACTGCAACGTCTGCACGGGGAACCAGGCGTGCGCGAGTGCGCTCCAGGCCCTCAATGGAGGAGGAGGGGGCGCTGGCTCGTCGTCGAACGGGATGAGCTTGACGAACGGGCTCGGAGAACCGGTGTGCAGTACGGGACCGTGGACGTGGACTGAGGGATTTGCGAGCTGCGACGTCGTAGTGAGTCCCGCGCATCCTCTCGCTTTCTCCCGTCGAAGCGCTTACGCTCACACACTCTACCCGCAGAACCCAACCCTCCAATCCGTCTTCGCCGGCTCCACAACCCTCACAATCCAAAAAACCGTCTCGCCCTCCCAATCCCTCTCCTCGCCCTTCGGCACCAACGGCACCATGACCGCCCAACTCTGGTACGCTTCCTTGAGCGGTAACACGACCGTTGTCGAACAGTTCTTTTGCACGGCGGACCAGTGCGCGCAGACGAATTCGACGACGACGGGTAATGCGGAGGGAGAGGTCGACTGGACTTGTCAGAACCTCCGTTGCACGTGTATCCCCGGCACGACATTCTGTGGCGCTCCTGGCTCGCAACTCGATTTGACGAGCACCATCGACGGCTTGTCGGGCGTATTGGACATCACCTGCGATGCGGCGACGGGCACGCAGTGCGCGTTCAAGCAGGATGTGTTGAAGACGCTTTTTGGTGCGAATGGGTTGGCGCTGAGTGGGTGTAGGTGGGGTGAGTGCGTCTTGCCCGGTACGATCAGTGCGCTGGCAGACGCGCTGGCGGGGAAAGGGACGAATACTGGAGGAGGAGGGAGCGGGTTGAGTGGTGGAGTGATTGCGGGATTGGCGGTCCTCGGAGGCGTCATCGGAGCGCTGCTGGTCCTCCTCGCGCTGGGCAAGGCGAGCCAGAGGCGTGCGAGGAAGCGCGCAAGGGAGGAGGACGAGAAGGCTTTACTCGTCGCCTCAAACGGAGCGGCGACCCTTCACTCGGGCGCAGCGGGAGGAGCCTCGTCCGGCTCCGCCTCCTCGTCGTCGCAACAAGACGCCGGCGAGAAACTCGAACTACCGCCTTCTCTTCCCCCAATCGGCCTCGAATGGTCCAACCTCTCCTACTCCCTCTCGCCCACCCCTCACTTCTCCTTTCTGCCCTTCAGCTCCTCCTCGACGCGACCGAGGGAAGGAAAACAGATCCTCTCGTCCCTCTCGGCACGCGTCGAGCCAGGCTCGTTCGTCTCAATCTTGGGACCCTCGGGAGCGGGGAAGAGTACGCTCGTTGATCTACTCGCTGGGGTACGCAAGAGCGGGAAACGCGAAGGGAAGGTCGAGTTGGTAGGTGTTGGAGAAGGGGAGGACGAGGTTAGGATTGGGTATGTCGATCAGGGGGATGAGTTGCCTGAGACTAGTACGGTTAGGGAGGCGGTCATGCTGGCGGCGGAACTCAAGTTGGGAGAGATCCCGCATGAGAAGAAGCGGTGCGTCAACCCCCCTCTCCTCCCTTCTTTTTCCAGACTGACAAGTTTCTCCGGGCGCGGATGCAGCGACCGCGTCTTCGAGGTCCTCACCCAACTCGGACTGCTCGACGTAGCCGATAGTGTCATCGGCAGTCCAGAGGGGAGCGGGACCCGCGGGATTAGTGGTGGAGAAAGGAGGAGGGTCAGTATCGCGCTCGAGTTGGTCGCGAGACCGGCGGTGTTGATTGCGGATGAACCGACGTCGGGTGCGTTTCGACAGCTCGGTCTAGTCGCTGCCTCATTGTCCGCGGTGCACGGACATTGATACTTGAGGATCGTTTCGAAACAGGACTCGACTCGACTTCCGCCCTTCGCATCCTCACCGCCCTCAAAGCTCTCACCCTCCCATCCCCTTCCACCTCCTCCTCGCGCCCAACCCGCCGCACGACAGTCATCTGCACGATCCACCAGCCTTCGTCCCAGCTCTATCACCTCTTCGACGACGTCCTCCTCCTCGCGCAGGGCGGGACGCAGTTGTTCTTTGGAAAGGCGGCGGGCGCGAGGGAGTGGTGGGAGGAGAAGGGGGAGAGGTGTCCTGAGGGGTGGAATCCGGCGGATTGTGCGTTCCGAATCTCGCTTTCTAAGGTGAGCGATCGGAAACTGATGAAGGATGCGTGTGCGCAGTCCTCCTCGACCTTGCGACCTCGCCGCCTGCGGCTTTCATTCCCCTTCGTCCTTCCCCAACGACCTGCAAATCCGCCGCCTCCCTCCCCGCCTCTCCCCCTCACGCAACCCACGAGCTCCCCTACACCTCCTCTCCCACCTCGCGCCCGTTCTTCCCAACCCCTCGCTCGTTGTTGCGCAATACGAACGCGCATCAGAGGGCGAGTAGGAAGCCGACTACGACGGCTATGACGCAGGTTGAGGTGCTTGCGAAGAGGGAGGCGAGGAACTTGGTTAGGGATAGGGGACTTGTCGTGAGTCGCGTCTCGGTCCTCTCACTTCTCTGAGGTGATGGCTGATTCTGGGATGTGACCCAGCTCATGCACAATGTCGTACCGATGATCGTGGGGTTGTTTGTTGGCGGGATGTTCTACAAAGTCAACCTCACCATCGGAGGTCCGTCCGCCTCTCTCGCTCCTCACTGCGACAGCGCTGACCCACCACTCTCGCAGGCTTCCAATCCCGTGTCGGCGCCCTCTTCTTCCTCGGCTGCCTAATCGCCTTCGCCTCCCTTTCGGCCCTCTCGAACTTCGCGCACGCCAAGCGCATCTTTATCCGCGAGCGCGCAAGGGGCTACTACAGCCCCGTTACGTGGCTCGCGAGCAAACTCGTGTTCGATATCGTGCCGCTGAGGCTGGTGCCGACTATTGTGCTTGCGACGATCGTTTAGTGCGTTCCGTCTTTCTCGCTCTAAGGTTGAGCGTGGCTGATGCGGGTTGACGCGCGCAGCTGGATGGTCGGACTCGCGCATGACGCCGCGCACTTCTTCAAGTTCCTCCTCATCCTCATCTTGTTCGCCATCTGCACGACGCTGTGGAACTTTGTCCTCGCCGCCGCGATCGACGACACCGGATCTGCCATCCTCGTTTCCTCCGTGTGCGTACAGCCCCTACCAGGAGTCGCTCGACATCCTCCTGACTGACTCCCCGACCCGCAGCCTCAACCTCTTCCAAATGGCCTTCGCCGGCTTCTTCATCAACCTCCGCTCGATCCCGCCCGTCCTCCGCTGGCTGCAGTGGCTCGCGCCGCTCAAGTACGCCCTCGAGGCTGTCACGATCAACGAGGTTGGCGCCGGGTTGATGATCGTCGACGAGCTGGCGGGAGCAAAGGTGCAGATCTCGGCGGAGATTATCATGCAGACTCTGTGCGCCTTCTCCCTCCCTCTACCTCGTCGTGGTGCGACCTTCGCTGACGCTCGATCGCATAACGCAGCTTCGGGTTCAAGCAGAACGCCTACTACCGCGACGTCCTCGTCCTCTTCGCTTTTATTGTCGGTTTTGCCCTGATCCTCATTGCGACCGTCCTCGTCCGCCTGCGCGAGTTGCGGTAGACTCCTCTGTTCTTACTCCATCGGTTTGTGCGGTTCTCTCTACCGGGTTGTAGGTCTGTTCAGCATCTTGTCACGGTTGTTGCGTTTCCTTTGTCGAGTTGTGTGCTGCGAGAGTGACATCTCTCCTCGGGTTCACGTATCGCGGTGTTGGATCACGTGCGCTGCAGATGAATCGTTACAACACGAAGAACGAAGGAACGGAGGGAACGAAGATTAGGGTAAAAATGGGAGGACGGGCGGTTCTCAACACTCCATGTAGTCGCTCGCCATCAGCCTGCGCGGTGAGAGGAGGGCAAGCGTCAGCTTGTCTGCTCTGTGAGCTGGAAGAGAAAGTTCACGTACAACTCGAGCGCAATCTCTGGCTTGACGCGGTCCTTGAAATCAGGAATCTCGCCCTTGGTCTCCCTGTACCGCTCCTTGTACATCAAGTACTCTGCAACCTTCTCGACAATCTCTGCTCGCTGTTCTTCCAGCCGGATCACGCCCGTCTGCGCCTCGACAAAGTCGGCGGAGAGGGTGTTCTTGATCATCTCGGAACCGAGCGCGGCTGAGCGGGGCAGGATGAAGCGGTGGCCTGACGAATTAAGGGGTCAGCTTGCTTGCGCGGTCGAGGCGCCAGCAGGGCGGGCAGATGGCAGTGGGGAAGAGGCGAGGAGGACGCACCGTCACTCGATACGAGCGTGACCCAGGAGTCGGCCTGCGAGAAGGTAGGGAATCAGTAGGAGGCCATGCAGACTGGTCAGCCACACGCACGTCTGCCATGGCGAGTCGAGGTGAGCCGTAAGATGTCAACCTCGGCGCGAGTTGCTCTTCGACCTGGACAACTCGCACCGCTCGACCAGAATTGCCCGACGTCTGCTGAAGCGCACTCAGGATGCCCGCTACTAACCGCTCACCGTCTCCCTCATCCTCCCGCTCGTCTTCACCGCCTCTCCAACTCGACCCCTCGACTTTGGCCGCCCTCAGCTCTTTCTACGACGAGCAGGCGGAAGCGGAGCGGCAATTTGCGGAACTGGAGAAGAAGGCGCATGACCGGCTGGTGCAGGCGCAGGAAGGACAGGCAGACGGAGGTACGTTTCTTCTCCTCCGCGAAACTGATGAAGAGGCCTGGCGGGCGAGGGATGGGCTCAGTCGCCGAATGCGCTCGCCAGAAGTGTCTCAATGAGCTACTCCCACCTGCCTGACCCTGTGAACTGCCGCTCGGAGACGGTACGCTGACCTCGCGCTCGTCTTCCAGCAGAGGAGCAGCGAACGATGAGCGTGGACGAGTTCCGGAAGCTCTTTGGCGAGGACTGGCAGCTCAGTCAGTTCTGGTGAGCCTCCCAGCCGTTTTCGGTGGCGCAGCTTCTCCTTGCTGCGATGCAGACTGTAGAAGTCTCGCTGATCCCTACTTCTCGCCTCCGCTAGGTACTCTGCCGACTTTGCGACCCGCTTCTCCCGCTTCCTCTATTCTTTCTGCACCCCAACGACCCGCATCGCCTTCCTCTCCTGCCCAACAGCCTACATCGGCTTCCAGCACGAGAACCCGCTCAAAGACGCCTGGCTGTGGGAGTATGACACACGGTTCAAGCTCGTCGCGGGCGACAAGTTTGTGCATTACGACCTCGAGGAGCCGGAACGGTATCCTCAGGAGCTACGAGGGACTGTCGACATCGCCATCGCGGATCCCCCCTTCCTGAACGAGGTGCGCTGCGGCGTCTGCCGAGTGCCCGTGCTTGTTATACTGACACCTGCGTTGCAGGTCACAAATTGCTACTTTGCGACGACCCTCCGCTCCCTCCTCAAGCCAGACGGCAAGCTCATCCTCCTCACCTCGACCTCCGTCTCGTCTATCCTTCCCAAAGTCTACGACTCTCCGCCTGTGGGCCCGCTACGAAAGACGTCGCTGCAGGTGGAGCATGCGGGAGGACGACTGCAGAACGACTTTGGCGGGTGGAGCAACTTCGACTTTGACGAGCGGGAAGGGGTGAAGTCCCTGGAGCAGCTGTGAGGCGTAGAATGTGCAAATAGATCTTGAGACGATACCGTCGGTCCATTCTCGTCTCGTTTGCAGCTCAGCAACAGCACTCTGCTCTCTTGGGATCCGGTCAAGGCGGGGAGAACGGCTAGATGCGGATTGCGAGGTTGGCAACAACAAGCGAGATTGAAAAGACGACCGACTAGCCAAACATGTCGCTATGAAGGAAGCCGTGCAGTTGGCGCGCAGGCTCGACGCCGATGAGCGCCTGGAGCTCGTTGAGGTCGAGCTGGACGAGCGCCTCGAGATTTTCGACCTGACTGCTGAGATACCGGTAGTTCTTGCTCGAGACGCCGGGCAAGCTGCGCAGGATGTCTTGCGGCGCGAGGTTGAAGCCTGCTTCGCCCGACGCACCGCTCGTCTCGGCGCTGTCAGCCTCGAGACCGACAAGCTGCGCCTTGGCCTGGTCGGGCTCTTCGCGGTTCTCCTTGAGGTCGCGGAAGATCTCGACGGTCTGATATGGCGAGGAGGACCAGATGACGCGCAGCTTTGGGAAGGAGATCGTGAGGAGGACGATCTTCGAGCGGAGGTCGATGTCATTCGGCGACGAAGCGTAGGTCTTCGTGTCGACGTATGTCTGCACGCTTGTCTTCGTCAGCTACAGTAAACTGCGAGTATCGCGACGCCCCGCACCTCAAGGTTGAACGACTTCTTCTCGTCGAACTCGATGAGCAGGATCGGCTGCTTGTAGTGCGCTGTCATCAGCTCGCATTGCTGGAACCTGTCGCAGCGAGAAACGCAGTCAGATAAGCACGTTTTTCGAGCAAAGCGAGAAGCAACACGCACAGCCTGCCAGAGTTGAAACTCTGGATCAAGTCGGGGATACTCTTGCGCTCGACAGCCATTTCGGGCGTGATGATGTAGTCGCCGATGCTGAGCGTGACGGGGATGACCTCGAACTTGCCCGCGTGCAAGAGACCGGGAAGGGACGAGCGGAACTCGCGCATGTCCACGATGACCTGCGAGACGAGGGGTCAGATGCTGCATCACACTCAGCGTCTGGGCTGACGCACCTTCGGCGGCGTGGTGACGACCTGTCGACCGCCGGCACGCGTGTTGACGGTGCGCATAAGCTCGGCCTCGTCCTCCCCTGGCCGGTACTCCGCCTCATGCGGGATCGCCATTGACTGCGGACTTCGACGGTCAGTGAGAGGACACGCAGAAGGAAGGAAGCGAGACGCACCCCCTTCTCCTCGATGAGCCTGACGAAGGCGTCCTTCTCGCGGCGAATCTCGCTTAGGTACTTCTGCTCCTCGACCGAGTCCTTGTAGACGAGGAAGTAGACACGGATGGCGAGGCCTTGGTGCGCCGCTCGGTACGCCTGGCGGGAAATGTCAGCTAGTTTCGCCAATCGAGCGGACGAAGAAACGCACCTCGATTCGCCGCACGAACGAGGGATTCGGATCGAACATGACGACGTATTTAGGTCGCAGCTCTTCAAACACTCGGTCGTCTTCGTCGTCGAGGTAAGGTCGGATGATGACCACGTCCTCGTTCGAGATGAGGCCAAAGTACTCCTCAAAGTCGAGTGGGTTGAACGTTTCCTCGATGACCTCGTCGGATTCGACGTCGCCGGGCGTACCAGACGAGTCGACGCTGGTAGCAAAGGCGTGTCAGCTCGTGGATCGACGGTGAAGGCGAGCACACGCACAGCTCGGCAATCTTCTTGACCTCCTCTTCGAGCGCCTCGGGGTTGGCGCCGGTAGCAGCCGAAAACATCGGCGCCGCTCCGCTGGTATGCGTCGCCCCCGCATTGGAGCCCGCCGCTCCTCCACCTCGCACCCTTCGTCGCTTGGTCGGCGGCGCCTGACCCCGCTTGAAATCCTTGCGCTTCAGGGCCGCGCTCATCTCGCCGTCGCCGTCCTTGTTCCCGCCGAAGTTAGTGCCACCGTTGCTTGATGCGAATGCGCCCGCGGTCGTGCTCGAACCGGAAGAGCCTGCCGCAACGTTCGATGACGAGGACCGCCGCTCGCCCTTGTTAAAGCCGGGTGTGCGCTTGAGCGAGTTCTGCATCTTGCCCATATGCGCCTTCCAGAAGAAGTAGCTGTTGAGCTTCGACTCGAGGAAGCTGCGTCCTTCCGAGGTCTCCGGGTTGAGCGATGAGAGGTAGTTGCCGAGGGTGAGGCAGGTATCGGTCGAGTTGCACATGACGAGAACCGTATCGTTCGAGTAGCCGTCTGCGAATGCGCTGGTCAGCTCACGAACGTTCGCGCGGGAGGAGGGAGACGCACAGGGGTCGTACGGCGAGAAGTGGATGCTTGTCTCGATCTCGTCGAGAACTTCCGCCAGCACCATCCACTTTGGCTGCTCCTCCAAGACCGGCTCGACGCCAGGCGGTAGCCACCCCTTCTTCTTCGGCTTCTGCGACTTCGGCACCTGCGGTGGCGGCATCGCATCCTTGTCCTCCTTGTCCTCGCCGTTCGTCACGCCCGCAGCTCGGTCCTTCGCTTCCTTTTCCCGCCTCGCTGTCTCCTCCAGGTCACGCAGCAGCTGCTCTTCTTCCTCGGTCGGCCCGTCTGCCAGCCAGTCGTCCGCATTGAGATCGTCCGGAATCTCCATCCCGTCAACCGTCAACTCGCGTTCTTTCCGCCCCTCGCCCGGCTTCGCGACAGCCTTTTGCAGGTAGACGCGGTTGCGAGCGACGCTGAAGATTGTGTCGGCTGCTGCTGTGCCAAGCCAGGCGGGGCGGTCGCGGCGGTCGAGCGCGCCGATCGTGGTCGTGTGCGAGGAGAGGAGGGTCTCGAGGTACTGGTTGAAGCGGACGCAATCGAATGAGAGGAGATAGCTGCATACAGGCTGCGTCAGCTCGACACTTTACTCAGCGGTGCAGGAGTGGGACGCACACGAGAAGCTTGCGCAAAGTCGTCAAATCGTTGACGAGACCGCGAGTTTTTGGCCCCACCTTGTGCCAGACAGGGTCGAGCTGGATACGTACAAGCCTGTCGAAGGATGAGAAGAGGGCGTTCTCGAAAGTGAGGTCGTCGACTTCGAGCTGCGGGAAGGGAACGATTGAGCGGGAACAAGAGGAGGCAGGGCAAACGAGCGTACGTAGGTGTTGCTCCGCTTGATTTCCGACAGAGTCATCTCCATGCACTCGATAATGGCCGTCTGGATGTCGAGCATGTTGTGCGTTAGAGGCTGGTACAGCTCGACGACGTCCGCCTTGCGCTTCTTCAGGTCGGTATCGACGTCCTCGTGGAAGCTGTGAAGCGATGCTCATCAGTGCGGGCACGCAACGTGGTTTATGTTGACGCACCGAGGCACGATGATGACCTCTCGCAACTTGAGCTGCATGAGCGTCGTCTGGAGAGGGGACAAGCCGAACGAGAACGATTCTGGGCGGTCCGAGAAAGCCTTGAGGAAGCCGAGCTGCGCAGACGCTACGTCAGCCTTCGACGTCCGCCGAGCATGCGCGGGAGACCCACCTTGTTCTGCTGCCGGTAGATGCGGACAATGAACGCTTCTTGCGAAGTCGGCTTGACCCTGCACAGCTGTCCTGTCAGCTATTCCAGCAGAACGATGGGCACGCGCTACGTACTCTTCCGCATGCAAGACGACGAGACCGGTGATGAGGCTGACGGGGATTGTGCCCTTGAGCATGTCGACGATGAGGATGCGCGAGGTGACCGAGAAGAGGCCGCCGTCCTTGTACATCTTCTCCCTGTGGAGGACGACGTGAATACTGCTCTCGACTGCTTCAACACAGCTGCACACCTCTGCGAGTCGCCCAGCTCGTATCCGACGACCTTCAACCGCATGCCGACCTCCTCAGCAAAGCCTCGTTCCTCTTCCGGTGTCGCATTGACCACGAGCACGAGCTTCTCGGGCATGTCGTAGATCTTGAGCTGTACAGACGGGCTAATCAGCACACTTCATCCCCACATCCGTCGAGGAGAGAGGGGACGCACAAAGGTGGTAACGATCGTCCTCAGCCCCAGCCCGCGCGCCATGACCAGCATCGCATCTCCAGCATTCGGCAGAGCATTCTCGGGTGGAACGAGCTGCTTGAGGATATTGCGCTGGAAGGGGAGGAGGCGGTTCGTCTCGAGCGAGTTCTTGGTCGCGTTGGGCGGTTTGACCTTGGTCGCCTTGGGTTGTATCGCCTGCTCGAGCGTCTGATCGTCTGCGCGGCCCTTGCCCTTGTCAGCGCGGGACGGAGGCATCTCGAGCGAGTGATTTTGTCGGATGTCAACCTGTGAGCGAGTCCTTGTCGGCGACCACAACCTCTCTCTGGCTGGATCCAGGGTCTGATGGACGGAAACAGGTCAGGCAAGAACTGCACAGGTGCGCCAGAGCTTCCCACGGCCTTCCATCGCCTCTCTCTCGCCCCGCTGATTCTCATCACATCACTGACCCAGTCGAGAACACCCGCTCCTCGTAGTCTCCTGGCGGGCGCTGGACGCCGCAGTCAGACGGTTTGACACGCTCAATGGCTCGGCAAACTTCTACGACATCAACAGCAAGACCTCCGCCTCCTTCGACACCGCCAACGACATTCCGCGCCTTACCTGGGACCAGGTGCGCGCACGGCTGGAGAAGCGGTTCGTGTGTGCTGCAGAAGTGAAGGCGGAAGACATCGAGGGCGGGAAGAGCGGAGCGAGAATGGTCGTGCGGGCCTTGCGGCGGACGGCAGGCTTTGCGGATGCGAAGGAGGTTCTCGAGTGCAGTGTCTGGCTGGCGGCGTTGCTGGGAGCTGTGTCGAACGCAGCGCTGGATATAGCCGAGTGCGTCTTGCTGCCCCTCTCCCGATGATGGTGCCTGCTCACCTCTGCCCGCTCCGCAGGTCGCAACGACGCTCCCCTTCGGTCAGTCCCACACCAAACCCTCACGATTTCTTCGCCACCCGCAACTCTCGCACCGCTACACCCACCCCGACTCCCGCACTCGAACCCGGCCCGAGCGGCGAGAACAAAAAGCCTTTCTTTGCCGCAGTCACGCCGACTCCTCAGTCTGTCCCAGCCAAGCGTCGCGCTTCGCAGGCGCTCGATCTCGACCTCGAGCCCGTACCGCTGCCCCTCGGAGGAAAGGGGAAGGGGAAGGCTCGAGCGATCGTGTTGGACGACGAGGACGACGATATTGTCTTCGTCTCGGTCTTGGGGCGCAGGAGTCGGTCGTGCGCGCCCGAGGTACAGCCGCGGGTGAAGGAGAGCCTGAGGTCGACGAGGAGGAGGAGGATCGCGCGATCAGCGCATGTTCGCCGGAGCTAGGAGAAGCTGAAGGAGGAGAGCAAGAAGAGGAGGAGGGGGAGGAACGGGCCGATGAGTTCGAAGAACCGGCCATCGGCGTCCAGGTATTGGGCAAACGCGCCAGGCCGCCGCCAGGGTATCTAGCGGGTCTGGACAGGAGCATCACCCCGCCAGCGGGACGAGCTGAAGCTTTCGACGTGGGTCCGCCCGACCGCTATTCTGTCAGAGCATCTTGCTAACGTTGCTGCTGTTACTGATACAGGATCAAGAGTACCTGCCGGAAAAGAAGGTGCGCGGCGTCTCGTTTGCTCGCTGTTTCCGCTTGTCGCTGACCGTGGCTTTGTCAATCAGGGCAAAGCAGCAAAGTCTCCCGAGAAGACAGGGAAGCGAGCCAAGAAGGGCGAAGTGCGTCCCCTGCTGAGACAGCCGCAGGAGCTTCAAACTGATCCTCTTCTTCCCTCGCAGCCCGACCCTTCTCAACCCAATCTCCATGGGTTCTGGCCCTCGACGCACAAGCAGGACATACCTCAACCGGTGCATAAGCGATCTTGAGGCTGCAGCTCGTGGTCCGGAAGGGCGGGTTTTGACAGGACTCGACGGAAGGTGGATTGTCAAGTTGTGGGTTAGGCTGCAGGGCGCTGCTGGCGGCGTCCTCGCGTCTCCCGACACCGACGGACTTGTGAGATGACCTGATTTATCCTGTCTGGCCCCAGGGTGCCTCTGAGGGTCCGCTGCTCGTCTCGAGGTCGAAAATGGCCACCACCTTTACCTTGTCCTGCCGCGCCGCGTCTCTCGCTCCGCTCGTCGGGTACGGATCCTGCACTAGCAACCATAAGCCTGCATAATTTGCCAATACTCGTTCTCTGCGAGACATTCGAGTGTAGCCCGCCCCGTCGTCACCGCTGTCCCGCCAGCCAGCCTTCTCTCACTCCGCCCAACCCGCTCACCTCGCTCGAGAGCGCTGAGAGTGCACCTAGAACGCACAGCTACACCAGACTCAGCCTGCGAACCTCCGGCGACCCGCCTTCGCTCTTCCACGCTTCTCATCAGCTCCACCTCGTCTCGCCTCTCCACAACTCGACTCTGTCGCGTCCACCGCATCGGCATGGCCAATCCCTACAGTGCAGCCATGTCCTCCGGCCCCTCGAGCGACGGCGCCTTCTCCGCCCCTTCCTCGCGCCGCTCCTCCGCCTTCACGCAACACTCGCAAGGACACGGAAGGCGAGCGAGCGTCATCCCGCCCTACATGATGAACGACTTCTCGCAACAGTCCGGACCTCCTCCACCCGGAGGTCACTACTCCGGGCGCGGCGCGGCGGGCATGGGCAATGCAGCAGGAGGGAGACATGCGCGGCGAGGAAGTGTCATGGACATCGCGGCGGACATGTTGGCCGGACAGGCGGGCGTCGAGCAGCTCGAGAAGGTGAGGAAGGTCAGCGACAGGGTCGAGGACAGGCTTGAAGGATGGGCGCGGCCGATTCGCCCTTGGTTGCCCGGCATCGGCAGGTTCCTCATCGTTGTCACTTTCCTCGAGGATGCTTTGAGGATCTTGACCCAGCTCAGCGGTGCGTTGGGATATTCTCGAGCTTTTGCGCTGGCAAAGATGCTAATCTCGTTGCCTCCGCAGACCAAAACTACTACCTCCAGGTCCGCTCGAAGCGTCAGGGTTACGCTTTTCGCTCCGCTGACCTCGGCTTACACCGCGCAGAAACACCGCGGCTTCCCGTGGGGTCTCTCGCACCTTTTCTTGTGGACGAACGTCCTCGTGAGTTCGCTTCGTCCGCTGCAAGTTCCGCGCGCCAGCTAACTTCGCCTCTTCGCAGGTCATGCTCGCCTGCTCGATCTCGATCATCGCCAAGCGCTACCCCGAGTACGCGACCGGCGGTCTTCTCGGCGTCGTCATCACGCAGGGCTTCGGATACGGCCTCATCTTCGACCTTACCTTCTTCCTCCGCAACCTCTCCGTCATGGGCGGCCTCCTCATGGCGCTCTCCGACTCGCTCAGCCAAAAGAAGAGCTCGCTCGTCGGCATTCCCAGCATGGGCGTCAGCGACACGGACCGCAAGAAGTACTTCCAGCTCTTCGGCCGCGTCCTCCTCGTCTTCCTCTTCCTCGGCTTCGTCTTCAACGGCCAGAAAGGCATCGCGCACGGACTCGTCAGTGTCTCGGGCCTCGTCGCGTGCTTGTTTGTCGCCGTCGGGTATAAGGCCAGGCAGAGCGCGCTCTTCCTCGTCGTCGTCTTGACCATGTTTAACTTCACGGTCAACGCCTGGTGGACGGTTCACTCGGCGCACCCGCAAAGGGACTTCCTTAAGTGAGTCGGCTCTCGTTATCCTTTTTCCTCAGCGAAAGTTGACGGTTGTTCGCTTGCAGATACGACTTCTTCCAGACTCTCTGTCCGTCATGCCGCGCTTGTCGCTCCCTACATCGCAGCTAACCTCTTGATCTCGCGCAGCGATTGTCGGCGGCCTCCTGCTGCTCGTCAACCTCGGTGCCGGCGACTTTGCGATCGAGCAAAAGAAGCGCATCTGAGCGTCCGGCCGCACACCCTCGCTCGCCCGCACACGACACCCTCTCATACTCTCAAACGCTTCGCCATCCCCTCATTCTTACGCCCAATCTGCATGTTGCTTCCCATTCCCCGCCCTCTTTCACCTCGACTCTCGCTTCGCCGGCGAGTCGACCGCGGCTTCGCGCCAGTAGTTTCAGCGTAGCTTGCTTGTCATACCCGAAAATGGAACATCGCCGTTCGCATCTAGCTCGCCGTAGACGGAAGAAAGTGTCGAGGAGAGTGCGTCTGCCATTGCTGCTCGACGAAAGCTGTACGCTCAGCCACTGGTTAATCCGCTCATTCCAAGCGTCCTCAGTACTCGTCATCTTCGCCATCGTCGTCGGAGTGGTAGTCATCCTCCGCGGGCGCTGATCGCTTTTTCTTCGCCGCCTTGTCTCCATCTTCGACGGCCTTCCTCTTCCCACTCAGCTTATTCGCCTTCCAAACGGCCAACGATTCCTCGTCAACACCATCGCAAGCGAGGACGAGGTATCGCATCACCCTCTGCGGCCGCTCGCTCGGTTGCGCCGCCTTCAACTCCTGGTCCGCCAACACAAGGTCGTACGCCGTTTCGAAATTCCAGTCCCGCAGGACTCGTTGACGCCACGGCGGCAGTGTCTTGGTGTCCTTATTATCGCTGGCGTGACGACGGAACGCCCGCCGCAGAAGTGGCGGCCACATCTGGTTGGCGGAGGGTCCGACGGGCAGAGGCTGGGCATGCTCATCGAGTCGGCCATCGTGGACGATTCGATAGCGTCCGCAGTATAGCCAGACAGTGTCGATCCGTGAAACAAAGACGTTGACGCCCTCGTAAGGCTTGTCGGGGCGGTGGGAGCGGGAGACGGCGTTTGCGATCTCGTCCAGACGCTCCTTGCTCGAGATGATCACGAGCGGTTCGCCTGGAGCCGCTAGCCTGCCATTAATCCCGCATAGATTCTTGTCCATCTTAAAGGCAAGCCAATGATGGGCGAGCGTAAAAGGGCCGTCCTTTGGTCCGCCTTTGCCAACCATAGTATAGCCCTCCTTGCCCATCTGTTCGCGCGTGAACGTCAAGTCCATGTCGGCTGGGAAGACGAGGCCGTTGGCCGGAGCTAGCTGCGCGGTGTCGAGCGGAATGTCGCGGAAGTTGCGGAGGATCAGGTTGGCGCTGCCCACGGGCGAACGCTGCGAGAGTCTCTGCGGAGCGTCGGGCGTCAGTCTTCAAGACACAGGCATCTCTGAGGCACTGGCACTTCCTCAACGTACCGGGGTCGGATCGCCTTCGAAGTGTGGAGCGGGCAGATCCTCTTCGGCGTCCTGTTCAAGCTGCGTCTGGCTAGCCAACGGTCCGGCCGCTCGAGCGGCCAACAGCTTCGGCATCTCGTCCTGCGCCGCCTGCGGGCTTGGCGAAGGTGAACGGCGCAGTTTGTTCGCCGTCGGTTCTTTCGGGTCAACCGCTCGCCCCTTGCCCTTCGTCGCCGAGGAGTCGTAGCGCGGCGCAGGAGTAGGGAACGCAACAGCTTCTCGTTCAGCCGGAGGAGTCGGAGGCTGTTGAGCACCCTGGACGACGGGCAATTGAACGGCGTCCGCCGGTTTGGCTTGTTACTCGTCCGGAAGTCTGTGAAGCAAAGCTGTCAGTCCTGCGCTCGCTCAGTGGCGGGGGCTCAGTACGCACTCAATCTGGACAAGCCTGACGAGATTCTTGACGGCGTTGGCAAACTGCGCCTCCTCGCCCTCGAAGTCGACCGTCCGTCGCAGCGCACGAGCGACCAGCCCAACGCCGTACTCACCCGCGTCCATCTCGCCCATCTCCATGTTCGCGATGCCGAAGAATCGGCCGAGGCGTTCTTTGACGTCGATCCAGGACGGGAGCGAGTCGCGGATGAGGAGGGGGACGAAGAGAGGGGCGGTCTTCGAGGCTTCGAACGACGGTTCGGCGTTCGTCGAGGCGTCGTAGAGCTCAATAGCCTCAGTCAACGCCTTCAGCTGCGACCCTAGCTCGACATGCTGCTCGGCTCGGCGTGCGTCTGTCCTCGTCAAGTCGTGAGTGATGAGGAAAGTGGGGACGTGATAAGGACACGCACTGGCTGCCGAGTCAAACAAATCGTGTCCAGCCATCGATGAGAAGACGTAGCACGCGTCAGGACCAGCAAAAGCGACGTGTGGAGCAGGAGACGAGCGATGGGAGGAGGACAAGGTGTGTGCGACTCGGCAATGGCGGGTCGAGCAACTCGAATCCTTCCATTCGCGAACGAGTCTGCTTTACAGCTCCTTGACAAGCCTTCGACGGGCCCGGAACGAGAACGGCGACGAGGGTAAGTGTCTGTCGCAGTGCAGGATGAGGCGGACTAGCGGCCGCGAGCTGGGAAACACTGGCAATGCGGGAGAAGCGAGGTAGGCTGGGGTATCACGAAAGAGAGGGATTAACTACGAGGGAGATGGCGGGGTGCGAGACGATCAGGCCTTGGCTGAGAGCTTGGGAGGGGCGTCCTTCGGGCGGCTGACGAAGGTCGTGCCGAAGACGCGGTCCCAGAACGGGCTCGTAACGCCTGCGAGTACACGACAATGTCAGTCAGGCGTGACTGAATGAGGAAGCCTAGGCAAGGCGGCGGAAGGGCGACGCACCGAAACCGAGTTCAGGCTCCTTGTCTACGAAAGCAAGTCAAGGTCAGCGGCGGGCGCTGTGCTATACAATCAGCAATACTCGCAATGGTGTTCCATGTGCCATGACTTCTGCTTGCGGACGTACTGGGGAGCAGAGAGCGAAGTCAGCGAGAGTCGAGGAAGAGAAGGGCGGAATCGACTTACTTCCGGAAGCTTGGTGTGATGCAGGGCGTAGTGCATCACGTCGTACGCGACGTAGAAGACAAATGCGCCCGAGATGATGCCGTTTGCCATCCACGCCGGGAAAAGCTTGTGAGCGAGCTTGGTGAACGGAGTTTGGAGGGCGAAGAAGAGGAGGGGAGGCATGACGAGGCGCAAGCGGTCCATCTGCGGGGGACAGCTTTTAGCGTTTGCTCTCTTTCGAGTACAAGGGAAGCGCGGACCGGAATGTAGTGGTGGATACCGTGGAGTAGGAAGTGGAGCATTAGGAAGAAGGGGCGGTCCGGGAGGTGCTCGTCGATGTGGAAGAGGAAGCGGTGCATCGTGTACTCAAGGAACTGTATTCGAGTCGTCAGCGGACGTCTGGTCAGAGAAAGGGAGGCAACGCACCGTCCAAATGACATTTCCGACGAGGAAGCACGCACCCGACCTCGACAACGCCGTCGACATCGACAAGCCCGCCGCTGTTTGCTGGACGATCGACTGCCGCAGGATGTATCCGGCGACCGGCAGCCAGATGAGCGGCACGACATACCACGAGGTCATGGTGAAGATCTCGAGATACCACGGGCCGAAGAGGCGAGCGGGACGGGGCAAGTGCCTGCAAGCGAGAGAGTCAGCAATTGCGCTCGTTGACACTGGTGAACGAACGGACCTGGGCTGGTGAACCTGCTGAAGGTAGAACGCCTTCGAGAAGTCCGAGTTCCAGACCTGCATGATGAGCGGGCGGTTGAGGTCGAGGAACTGGTTGCGCTCCCAGTCCTTGACGTTGTCGGTGTCGTCAGGGTGCCAGTCGTCGGTGAACTCGAAGTCGGGGTTCGTGATGCACTCCTCCTGGCCCAGCCTGCCGATCTGGTACTCGTCGAGGACCTGGTACGCGCTGTCGCTGTGCGAGTGCTCGATCGGATCCTGCATGACCTCCGTGATGTCTTTCCCTGCCCAGTTCAGGATCAAGTCGTCTCCTCCCGGGTGGTCCTCGAGGAACTGGGAGACCTGCAAGATGGCGTGCACGAGGTCAGCGTTCCGCCCGCTCGACGCGTGCTCTGAAGGCTCGACGCACATCGTAGACCCTGTTGTTGTGCACGACCCAGCAGTCCTTGGCCGTGTTGTGCTTGTCGACCTCGGATCGAAGGTAGATGCGGGTGCGCTTGGTCGCGCGGTCGGCGGCGGTGGCCATCGCAACAAGGGTGCTGTGGATAGTGTTCCGGCGAAGATCAAAGGCAGACGAGACGAGCAGAGCAGCAGAGCGTGAGCGAGGGAGCAAGGCGATGTTCAAAGCGCGAGCACCTCGGGCAAGGGTCGCGAAGGTCCGGGCGGACGCCGCGAAACGCCAAACTGCCAGAAACTCCCACTGGGACGTCGAGGGCAACCGGTTATGCAATGCGATGGTATAACACGCGTACAGAACGGGGTCCGAGCCGCGACAGGCAGTGGCGAGAGATGCGCCTATTTGTCAGTGTACCGTCCTCGTCCTCCTCCTTCCTCCTGATCCGCCAACCGACTCGCCTCGTGACGCTTGAGGCTGTTGTGCGTCGGGTGGGACGGCGCTGGGCGATCCTACTCGGGTTTGGCGAGCTTGAGCGCCGCCTCTGCCTTCCTGAACTCGTCCGTCTCGGCCAGCTCGTCTTCCGTACTCGCCTGCAGTCAAGTTGTGGTCAGCAATAGATAAAGTAGTCGATGAACGAGACGGGAACACACCACAAGCTCCTCCAGCTCTGCGACAGCTTTTGCTAACCGCTTCTCGGTATCCGGGATCATCTGCTGGCTCTCCGCCTGCACTTTACGCTGCAGCAAGACGGCATCGAAAAGCGAAGCGTCAGCTGGCGTTGCTGAGTCCTTCGCATTGAGCACGCCCGGCGCACCTGCTGTCGAACCTCGTACTCGTCCTCGCCTGCCGCTTCCATCGCATCCGCACGCTTCTTCAGCTCGACCGCCTCTGCACGGTACGACTGGAGCTCCTTGACCGTACTGTACGGCACGCACAGCCGAGCAGGGTGAGCGAGAAGCGGGCCAGACCGGTTCAGTGATGAGGCACGCAAGAGGGTGAGACGAAAGGAAGAGGGCGCACCGGTTGACTACGCCGGTCTTGATCGCGAGTTGTCGAGTCTGTGAAGCCATCTGAGCGCACAATGGTCCAGCAGAGCGAGATGGTAGCGGAGGAGAGCGCGGTCGAGGGAAGAGGGGCGGTGTTCTCGCGGGTTGACCCTGAAACGCTCACATCGCTCGCTCGCCAGGCGTGTACGGCTCGGCTAGAGACGCTGAGAGTGCTACAACGTTCCTGTTAGCGACGAGCGGCCGTCACAACCCAGCCTCGACTTCCTCCCACCTCCCCCCGCATCTCGCCCGGACCTCCTCCTCGAACCGCCTTCGCCGCTCTACCAAGCTTCGAGCGCCTCAGGCCGGACCCGCCATGTCCAGTGACACGGCTCCCGCGCCCGTCGAAGCGACCGAACAGCCAGCGGAGCCCTCGACCACCTCTCGCCCTCCCGAATCATCCCTTCACTCGCGCGTTACAGTGTCGGACGGTACGGCGGCGGTGTCGCAAGTAGGCGAGGAGACTGGCGCGGGCGATGCGGAGCCGGTCATGCGCGAACGTGAGGGTACCGGACCTGTCTCGCTCGTTGCGCCAGTTGGGACAGACCGTCCCGTTGCAGCAGAGTCTGCGGGTGAGGTGGGGAGGCCGGCAGTGAAGGGCGAACCCGTCGAGGTTGAGCTGCTGTTGCTCTCGGGCAAGCGGAGGAGGTGGACGTTTGGGACGGAGGAGACGGTCGAGGAGGTGAAGGACCAGGTCTGGCACGAATGGCCTGACGGTGCGTGGCGCTCTTTTCTTGGTGCACTAGTCGGAATACTGAGGACTTCCCCGTGCAGACTGGACGAAAGGCGACCCCGCACCTCCATCGGTCGACGGGCTGAGGCTGTACGTCCACCCATCCCGCTTCTTCTCACCCGGCTGGTCCGCTCACGTTTCGCCTTCACCAGGTTACACCTCGGTCGTTTCCTCGACGATACCTCGACTCTGTCCGGTTTGTCCATCTCTCGTCGCTCAAGCGTCCGTCCCACCGTTTCGCTGACATGCCTTCGTCGCGTTTCAGCTGCCGGTCTCAAGCCCACGCCCGACTTCCCCGGTCCCCTCATCGTCCACCTGCACATCCGTACTCTCGAGCCCCCGCACCACTCGCACCGTGCGTCCCTCGACCGCAGTATCGCTCGTGGCGCAAGGAGAGACGGTTGGCTGACTTCGTCTCGAATCGCGCAGACTCGCCCAAGAAGAAGAAAAAGGCACAGCAGCAACCTCCGCACGAGGAGAACCGCTCCTGCACGTGCTGCGTCATCGCCTAGCGCTTCTCGTTCTCGACCTCCTTCTCCTCCCGTACCCGCACCGCCTCGCCCGCCTTGATGTCTATACGCCCAATGTTGTCACTCTGCTCACTTCGCATGTTGTCCGTCCCCGTCTAGCGTACCTGCAGTCGAAACATCGCTTCCTCAGGCCCTCTCTCGTTCGGAGGAGACGCTGTGGATGTTGAGTCTGCTTTTCGGATTTGCACAATGCGAGCTAGTGATAGGAACAGGTGTTGAACCGCACAGAATGGAACGAGTGGGAAAGCGAGTGGGAGAGAAGAGGAAGAAAGAACTGCGATGGGTGGTATGAAAGAGAAAAACCCCGAGACTGCCTGATCACCTAGGCCACTAGATGTTGAGATGCCTGGAACCGCTTAGTGGGTCTTCTTGATGGTCGACGAGTCGGGAACGCCGGGAAGAGGGAACTTGGTCGCGAAAGCCTGGACGTCCTCCGAGAGCTGCTTGAGCTGCTTGGCAGCCTCTCCGTCGCCCTTGAGGACGCGCTCAAAGTCCTTGATGAGCTTCGAGCCGGCCTCCTTCTGCGCCGCGAGGGCGATCTGGACTGCGCGGTGGAGGAAGTCGGCGACCTGGCGCATCTCGCCCTCCTTCATCGAGCGCGACGTCAAGGCGTTCGACCCGATTCGGACACCGCCAGGAGTCGCGGCAGACTTGTCGCCCGGTACGCTGTTCTTGTTGAGCGTGATCTCGGCGAGGTCGCAGAGCTGAGAGAAGTGACAAAAGGGTCAGAATGCCTCCTCCGGTCCCGCCAGCTGGCGCAGCGTGCACGCACCTTCTCAATCTTGGAGCCAGTGAGGCCGAGAGGGCGCAAGTCCCAAAGGACGAGGTGGTTGTCGGAACCCTCGGTCTGGAGCTTGTAGTCGTGCTTGACGAGCTCCTCGGCAATCGTGCGCGTGTTCTTGATGATCTGCGTCGAGTACTCCTTGAACTCGGGCGTGGCGGCCTGCTTGAGCGCGACGGCGACAGCGGCGATGGTCTGCACCAACGGGAAGGTCAGTCTCGGGAACGCCGCGAGGAAAGGAAGGAGCCGGATCGCACGTTGTTGTGGGGACCGCCCTGGCACGCGGGGAAGACGGCGTCGTTGATGCGCTTCTCGAGGTCGGCCTCCTTGTCCTTGCGGAAGAAGATGAGACCGGCACGAGGTCCACGGAGGGTCTTGTGGCTGCGCGCGGACGGACGTGTCAGCTAGCTCCCGCGGGCGGAGAGGGTACTGGACACGCACGTGGTGGTGCAGACGACGTCGCAGTGCTCGAAGGGGTCGTTCTGGACCTGGGCGGCAACGAGACCCGAGATGTGGGCCATGTCCATCCTGCGCGCTCGCTCGGCTGTCAGCTCGCCGCTTCGCTCGTCGCACAGGAGACGTGCTGCTCACATGAGGTAAGAGCCGTTGATGTCGGCAATCTTGCGGAGCCTCGCGTAGTCCCAGTCCCTAGGGTAAGCCGATGCTCCGCAGATGAGGATGCGCGGCTTGAAGAGGGTGGCGTTCTTCTCGAGGGCGTCGTAGTCGATGATGCCGGTGGAGTGGTCGACCTGGTACGGGAGGGGCTGGAAGTAGATGGACGAGGCCGAGATCTTGCGCTTCGGGGTGTACGCGCCGTGCGTCAAGTGTCCGCCGTCGGCGAGGTTGAGGCCCATGATGCGGTCCTGAGGCTGGATGAGCGCGGTGAAGGCGGCAAAGTTGGCGGTCGAGCCCGAGTAAGGCTGGACGTTGACGCCCCACCTGGCGCCGTCGAGGTGGAACGCCTCGAGCGCGCGCTTCTGGCACAACACCTCGAGTTCGTCGACGACCTCGTTGCCGCCGTAGTAGCGAGCGCCCGGGAGACCCTCCGAGTACTTGTTGGTGAAGACCGAGCCGTTGGCCTGCATGACCGCGAGCGAGGTGAGGTTCTCGGACGCGATCAGCTCGAGGCCGCGGAACTGGCGGTAGGTCTGCCGGGTCACGCGCGTCAGCACGGTGTTCTTTGGGATTGACTGGTTATGATCTGCCCGGATCGCCGCCGCAAGAACCGCCCCTCTTCCTCGAGATCCGCTTCGAACGCCGTCCGCCCGCCTCCTCCCATCCGCTTGACTTCCTAGGTCCTTCATACACCCTCTAAACACTCCGTCCACTCTGCCTGCGGCAGCAGTGCCGCGGGGACAGCCAAAGGCAAGCGGGCGTATTTGGCAGGGGCGAGAGTGTGCCGACGACGAGCTCCCGTTCCCGCGCGTCCTCCAGCGGCAGTCCCACCAAGGATGCTCGCCCCGTCGAGCCCTGCCAGCAAGCGCCAGCGATGTCCCAATATCCCTCGCTCCAGTCCCACACGTGCGTTGACTCGTGCCGGTAGACTCACCTCGCGGTCGACGAGCGCCTGGATCTCGGGGTCTGCCTCTGCGAGGGGCGTGTAGAGGCACTTGTTCTGCGTGGCATTTCCGAAGAGAGCGGGTGCGGGGGATAAGATGGGTGGGTGGTGAGGTCGGGCGTGCACGGACGGATCAGCGTGGGATTCCCCTCTCGAGGAGTGAGAGAGGTGGGCGTACAAAGTCGTTGGGGATGGGGATGGAAGCCATTGTGCGTGCGAGTGTGTGGGTGCGAGGGATTGAGCGAGGGACGAGGCGAGCGCAGGAGCGGGCGAGCATCGATGCGGGCGAGGGCGAGACGAGGGCAAAGGGGCACAGCACAGCTCGGGTCGCGCTCTGTTGCCCAGCGAGACTGCCTTTACTTGACACGCCCGCGTCACTGCTTCCCTTTTGCTGTGCTCAAGAGTAAGGGAATGGCACACGCTGCCACCACTGCTCACCCGCTCAAGCGCAGGAGGACAGACCCGCCTCACTCGCCATCCAGCTCCATGCCTGCACCGCCCCCGCTCAGCGCAGTCGCAGCAAGGAGGGCAGCTCGAGAGGCACAGGCGGCCAAGCAGGAGCACGCGCAGCCATTGCAGGTGAACCGGGAGGAGCTGGGAAGCGGGGCGGAGCGGCAGGACGCAGTGGACGAGGACGAGGGAATGGCTTCGGATGCCTCGAGCGAGTCGTCAACGTCCAAGGCAGACGTCGTGCGCATGCTCGCAGACGAGAAGCGCACACAGAACGGCAGGAAGGGCAAGGGAAAGGCCGCGACGAGGTACTTTGCCGCCGAGCCATCGAGGAGCGAGGACGAGCAGGACGGCGACGAGGCCATGGCGGTCGACGCGGGCGACCTGTCTCCTCCAAAGGGTCTCGAGGAGGTTGATGTTGCGCCAGCGGCGAGCGCGAGTGGGTACTCGACGCCGAACCGGAATCGCAGACGGAGGGAGCGGACGTGCGTTTCGAAGCTCTTCTCATCCTGTCACTAGCTGACCGGTTCGTCCTTCTACAGCGCCTTTGTCGACCCTTACTGCGTCTCATCCTTCGCGCTCGACGAGGGAGTCAACGCTTTCCGGGTTCGAGTTGCGGGCGAAGATGGCGCGGAGCGGAATGCGGTCGTCTACGCTCTCAAGGCGGACGAGGTGCGTCGTACGGCTTTCTTAGCTTCTTCGAATACCTGCTGACCTGCTCGCGCACCTAGACCCTCGTCATTCGCGGCGTCTGCACCCTCACACCCGTACACGGCTCCATCTCCCTCCTCGGCTCGACACTCTCCGCTCCACCTCCTTCCTCCTACTCCACCGCCTTTCCACTCCCGTCCACTCCTCAGCGTCCACTCTTCGCTCCCTCATCCCATCCCATCCCATCCATCCGCGCGCTCCCGCCCCCTTCTCCGGTATCTACAAACGCCACCCTCCTCCTCCCCTCCGGACAAGAACTCTCCCTCGCCCCCTTCGTCGCGGTCGTACTAGTCGCCGACTTGCAGACGGGCGTAGAGGGGATCGAGAGGGTGTTTAGTGCGGCGGGGATGGGGTGTGGAGTTGGGTTGTTTGGGAGGCGCGGGGAGGGGGAGAGGCGGGAGGAAGTGGAGGGTGGGAAGACTTGGGCTTTGGTGAGTCTTCCGCTTCCCCCATCCCTCTTTCCAAGCCTCGTTTCTTCTGCTCTTGCTGGACGGGGATTTCTTGGGTTCTGTTTTCCGTTCCCGACTTTTGCGTTTTTCCGCTTGCGCGGGGTGCCCTCCAGCGGATCTATAAGCCTTCATCGCGCGATTCCACCACCGCCGACTTCGCGGCGAGTATACACGTCTTCCTGCACCAAGATCGGCGGAGGAGGAACATCCCTCCGCTTTCTTCCCGGCCGTCTTGCTCTGCGGCCGTATACCACGCACGATGATTTGCGAGTCATTTACGCCCGTGCGACTGCACGAGCGCCGGCTGCGGGATACGTGGGCGCTCTTACCGCCGCGAAAGCGGCGGAGACAGAAGATTCGTCCGAGTCGCTGTAGCGACGCCGGACGCTTGCCGCGAGCGCCCGGTCTCGTCCTACTCGTCGCTGACGAGCTCTCTCTCCAAGTTCTCGATTCACCGAGAGTTACGCGCTCGCCTGCACGACTGTCTCGCACAGACTCTTCCGCTTTCGCGTTTCCCTTCCGCGCGGACCAACGCTTCTTCGACTTGATCAACACTTTGACGCGCGAATCAAGAACAGCAACTGACTCGCTCCTTTCACCCTCACCTTGCAGGTCCGCGAGCCCTCGCCCTCCCTCGCAGGCCTCCGCGAAGTCGAAGCCTGGACATCCGCCTTTTCCTCCACCCTTCCGCCTTCTCCTCGGCTACCTTTGGCCTCGAACGGCGTCGCAACGTCGGATCGGCTTGTGGCGATTGTGGAGGGACCGAAGAGGGTCGGCAAGAGCACGTTTGCGAAGATGCTGGTGAATCAGCTGCTTGAGCGGTGCGTTGGCCAAACAGCTATCCCATTCCTGCACTCATGACTGATTGTGTGAACGTCGGCAGGTACGAGAAGGTCGCGTATCTCGACACGGATCTTGGACAGCCCGAGTTCACGCCGCCCGGCTTTGTCTCCTTGAACGTTCTGAGCGACCCCATACTCGGTGCGATGCGTCGCCTAGACGTCTAGAAGACCTCGCTAACCCTCTCGCCTCGCAGGTCCCGCCTTCACGCACCTCTCCCTGCCTCTCTCCTCTCAGTACCTCGGCTCAGCCTCTCCCGCCTCCGACCCAAGCGGCTATCTCGCCGCTATCAGCGCCCTCTTGTCGACCTACGCACTCGAAGTCGAGTACCCGTCGGTTGACGAGGCGCCTTCATCACGTCGGCATAGGCGAGGTCAGCCCGCTGACGACTCGACTCGCTCCTCCTCGTTGGGGAGGTACTGCGAGCGCGTGCCGCTGGTCATCAACACGCAAGGCTGGGTCAAGGGTCTTGGCGCGGATTTGCTCGCCAAGCTTAAGGCGGAGAGCCAGCCGTCGCACATCTTCTCCTTCGTCGATGTGGTCGAGAACGGTTCTTCCGCGTTCGACGGTGCAGAGCTCGCACAACCAGCGTACAGCATCATGCCCCCATCCGCCGACGCACCCTACTTCCTCGCTTCCCTCCCGCCTGCGCCGCCGTCTCCCCTCGAGTCGAAATGGTCGGCCGTCGACCTTCGTACCCTTTCGCTCGTCTCGTACTTCCACTCGCTGCGGTCGGGGAAGTTGCCAGCGTGGGACTTTTCAACTCCTCTGATCGGCGTGGCGCCGTACGAGTTCGACTGGCGGGCGGAGCAAGGGCAAGTTGCGCAGGTGCACATCGTCGAGGGTGCAGACGTCGCGTACGAGCACGTCCTGCACGCCTTGAATGGCTCGGTCGTCGCGCTCGTGCAGGAGACGAGTCCCGCACCTTCCGCCGCCTCGCATCCGTTCCCCTACGACCCGTCCGCACCGCTTCCTTCCCCTTCCACCTCTCGTGCGCTCGGCCTCGCCGTCATACACTCCATCTCACCCGCCACCTCAACCCTCCACCTCCTCACTCCCGTGCCCGCATCCGTCCTCGCCTCCTCCGCGCCTCTCTCGCTCATCAAAGGCCCACTCGACCTCCCGATCCCGCTCATGCTCGATTTCACCGCGAGTCCGGCCGAGGCAGAGCAGGGCATTGCGGGCGTCGAGTGGGCTGAGGTGCCTTACTTGAGTGTGGATGCGGCGGAGGGAGCGGGGAGGAGGCGGGTGAGGCGGAATTTGATGCGGAGGGGTCAGGCGTGAGCTGTAGCTCTTGGCGTCCTTGCAAACAGCGTCCTTGAGCATAGTGTGTTTGTCCGAGAGGATTGTAGAACCCGAGCTGCCTGCACTGCCCGTGGAATCGTTCGCGTGAAGCGCGGATCGGACTAGCCTGTATGTATGCATGGTAGACGCGACGAATCAAGCGAAAGCAGGTCCAATAGTCTAGTTGGTTAGGGCACCGCATTGTGGCCCTCTTGTGATCCTGCGGAAACCCGTGTTCGAATCACGGTTGGGCCAGTACCTTTTTTTTAGCTCTCTTCCACTGTAGAGCAGATCAGCCGCCCTGCTGCTTTGCTGAAGGTGCAATAGACAACGCTGGCCTCCTCAATTCTTGCACAGGAAGGGGCCTTGCTTCTTCTGACAACTCTCTTTGGCACAGTGCTGGAACAAGGGGGTATCTCCCGCTCAGCCGACGGTTCCAGCGCGAGCTTCACGACGCTCGAGAGTCTGGACCGCTTTCGCAACTCCTGACCCCGCAGAGAGCAATCGGCGTCTCCGTCCTCAGCTCTCTCGTCCTCCTCCTGCTCCCTCATTCGCTCCAACCGCCCCTTTCTCTGCTCTGAGGAGAGTGCCGGCGCTAACCGTAACTGCACGGGTGAGTTCTGCCGTGCAGCGGTCTCGAGGCGCCGAAGAGCGGCGGCAGGAGGACAGACAGGAGCTCGTAGACCCCGCCTCTCGGCTTGAAGCACACGCCTCCGGTGCTGACGTGTAACTCGATAGTATCAAGTTGCAAGGGTGACCTCCACAACGCAATGTGAGGGTTGTGAAGCACACACGGGAACCGTGCGCTGAGCGGGAGATACCCCCTTAGCTGGAGTGAGCCAAGGGGTGTGTCCCGCAGTCAGCCTGGGCCTCAACATCCTCACAAAGCGGGTTGAGGCCCACCGTCGGGAGTCAATAATATCAAGTTCCACGTCAGCACCGGAGGCGTGTGCTTTGAGCTAAGAGCGGGGTAGACGACCTCCTGTCCTCCCTCCTCCGCTTGCCCTGGCCGCTGGGCGGCGCTGAAGAGCCACAACCTGATGAATCTCGATGCTGCAAACCGTTCTGGACCCGTCGCAACAAGCAGCGAGACCATTGGGAGCATCACGCGAGGAGGAGAAGGAGGAGAGAACGAGCGACGGGGAGGCCGGACGCTCGCCGGGCGCTCTCTGCGGGGTCAGGAGCTCAGGAAATGGTCTAGACTGTCAAGCATGGTGAGGCGCGTGCTGAAACTGAACGGTGAGCGGGAGACACCCCTTGAGTGAGCCTTGCAAAAAAGGAATGCTGTACTTGTGCCCGCAGCAAAAGGTTATTGACCACGATGGGGCTCGAACCCACGATCTCCTGATGACGACTGAATCGTAGTCAGACGCCTTGCCATTGGGCCACGCGGCCAGCGTTGTAGTGCTTTCCTTGACGTGTGTACATGTGGCACCGTGAGCGAGTCACGCCGGGGTGTGTGTCGACCAGGTCTTCCTGCGGTCAGCACCTGCTTTGCCCGGCTCACAGGCGGGTTATAGTCACCAAGATCCACTCTCGGAAGTTCCTTGTCAGTTCTCAGGCTCGCAGAACAGTGCGGTGGATGCGCCCCCACCGTACTCGCAGTCTCGCTCGCCCTACATCGCGCCTCATCTCCTTGATCACTCAGCCATGGTCCATGGAGCCTGGAAGACTCATTCGGGCAGGCAGTAGCATTCATAGGGCCCTCCACGGCGGCGTCGAGCAATGAAACCAAGCTCAAGGTGCGCTGCAAGCCACAGATTTCCGCCATCTCACTCCCTGATCCCTCTGTTCCTCCTTGCCATGCAGCTCTATGCCCTTTTCAAGATACATATGCATGCTCCTACAGAACAAGTGATTGTATCCCAATGAGCACTCTTGGGTGGACATTGGTGTCC